AAAGTGGAATGTGCTTACAGTCTTCTTTTTCCTTTCTAAACGACTTATCTAAAATTAGGTTGCTGTTTAGCGTGTACTCTATATCGGGCGCTTAAGACTGCACTTACGCAGCATCGTTTCTGCTGCCTGACTGTTTTTTTAAACTCGAAGTTCAGACACTAGAAATTCCGTTACATGCAAAATTCTTAAAGTTGTATATTCTTCAAATTGCTCAATTTTGTGAAATTGTGTTAAGAATGAGTCGTTGCGATGTTCTATTGGCAGCAGGTAGGTGGACACGTGCAATGGTGTAGGAATGAGTGATTTTATGGGGGAAAGACGTCATGAATGTCATTCTGAAAACAAAATCTTTCTATTCATCTTCCTTTCCAACCACAGACAGCGGTGTACCGTTATGATTTTTTAATTTTTTATGCTCAAGCTTAACTCACCTCTCTCATATTGCTGATTTCTACGTTTCTTATTACTTCCTGTTATTATTTTCAAGGCTCTTACACTTTATGCATGTGTCCGATGATTCATTAGTTTACAACTGAATCTGTCACTATCTGCACAAAGCGTTCACTATGCATGTCATCTATCTTTTTTTTTTCTTGAAATTGTAACTTGAAAGATTTATCTCCTCATTTGCATATGATGTTTACTTTCATATGCACCATTACAGCTTTGCTTTTCAGTTTGTATGTGTGAATTTGCGTCAACCTCAACTCTTCGTCAATTTGAGGTTGTACTTGGTGGCGGTTCACTGTTTGTGAACGCACACTGGATGGCTGAAATATCTCCCTACTTTAATAGGTACGTAATCTATTACTACTAGATATGTTCCTGCTCTGTGTGGCTTTTTGTCTAGATTTTCGTCCCACCAAATATTTTTGTCCATATTTTTTTCTTTGCAGGATCTGCTTTGATAGAAATTTTACGGAAGCTCGCGAAGGGTGTGTACACATTAAGGATGTTGACTATGCTGACGTTGTAGCTATGTTGGAGTACATCTGCCCTGATGCAAATTATTTGCGGCAGAAACGTATTGGAGGTAATGGAGATATCTCATAAAAAATACATTCCTTGGGATCCACTCATAGAAAATTTAGGATAATAACAACGAATAATTTTCCCTTAACGAGAGGGAGTAATTAATTTTAGAAATGGGAGCCACTGCAATTCATTTTACATGTTATTTTAGTGCATGCAGTTTTTGTGGTAGCTTTCGGAGCAAAAACATTTAAAAACAACTGTTGTCGTTCTTCCGATATTTTTTTCTGTAATCTTGCTCAACATTAGGCCTAAGCAATAGATAAGGAAATAGAAACGAGTGAGGAGACTTGTATGCGTCATAATTTAGCATATTCTAGATACCAACTTGGCTGCTCTCATCCATTGCTCTCACCGGTTCCAAATCCCCTCATTACAACGGGAACTGTACCAGTACCTGGAAAATGAACTCCCTTCTGAAGATTGCAAATTGAAACCGGAAACTCTTGCAGATGCAATTGCTGAGGCATTAAACGCGCATTTTAGGTAGAGTTTATACTACATACAGAATACCCGAAAATTTTTTAGTAATATTTTAGTCCCAAATTCATAGCACACATGTACAAAAAATTCGGTGAACATGGTCTGGACAAAATGCAAGAAGCCTTAAAAAATATGCCAAATCCTCTAGCTGAAACAATTTTGAGTGAAGCACGCAAATACACGGTAGGAGATTGAGCTACTTTCCTGTTTTGGGATATTTTATTGATTTTATATGCATTTTCAGCCAGTAATCACTCAAGAGCCAATATCCTCCTCATATCATTGGAATGACTTCTCTCGACGAATGTTCTTCTAGGTGCACGCATGAAAGTACCGGTGCTAATGCCGAGCTCAGTATTTGAGTACTTTATCTATCATGGGTACTATACAGCTTATATTTTTGAATTTGTAGATAGTTTGTATAGGTTAGTACATAGGTGGCACACATGTTGTGCTTAGCTCTTTCTTTTCATAGACACTTCATGATGTTTTGTATATTTGTATCATTAGGTTTAACCTGAATTTGTTATGCTATCTTGATTTTGCTTTTATACTCATGGGCCAGTATGATTGACTTATTTGTCGTGTGCATATGAACTTGTAAATTTCCATTGAATCGAATGAAAGGCTTAGCGCAAGAAAATGGAATAATGTTTCTTCTAAAAGTCTTAAGAAAAATGATTTTTTGAAAT